TCCGTGGGGTCTCTGGGGAGGGCGCGGTGTTGGCTTCCCCAAGCGCAGTGAATGATAAAAGCCACCGAGAAGGCCAGCAAAGCACCGTAATTCTGCTAGTGCACTGGAAAGGGTTGTTCAGGGGCTGCTCCTGACAGCATCACTGGGATTTAAACGTTTAACTCACCCCTGGGAATTCACTTTTCCTTCTCTCCTCCGCAGGGGCCATGGTCGGTACCCGCAGCTGCTGCTCAGGGACAGCCGGTGTCCCCTCCTGCAGGGACAGCCCCTCTGTGCAGCGCCCGCTGCGGCTCTGTGCCCACCAGCATCAATAATTCACAGTGTTTGGTTTCATCAATAATAAACGCTCATCAGGCTGCCAGCGCGGGGAGGCAGGGACCTCCCGGGCCCCTCTGCAGCCACCCTCAGCACTGCCAGGATGGCGTCGGGCTCCGGTCCCAGCACCGATGTCCCCGGTGCCACCAGCCTTTCCTACCTTGCATCTGCCTTCACTCGGGTCTGGCTTCACTCTCGGATGGGTCGGGTAGTCCCTGCGTCTGCAGCCCCCTCCCAAAGCCACTGAGCACATCTGGAAGAGCAAATGTCAAGGAATGAGCCTTGGGGACAGCAAGGACAGTGCCACGTCCCCCCAGCCCGTGTGGTGCCGGGTGGGTGTGTGGGGAGGGGGTTTCTCACTCCCCAGGTGGGTGTGGGGTCACTGCCTCCCTCCCCGCTTCTCCTGCCGTGTTATTTTCTACCCTGCTTTGCGGAGTGACTCTGATTAAATCCTTCATCTCCCGTCGCTGCAATTTCCATCTCTCGCCGTCGGTATTGGCGGTTGAGGCTGGAGATGCACATATATATTTAATTGGGATAAATAATGCATCTTCATAGCTGAACCCTGCCTCTGCCACATATTTGGTGCCAGAAATACCGTTTTCATTTCAAACAGGCTTTTCTCTGCGTGTCCCTTCCCTCGGCCAGAGCAGAGCCCACAGCTGTGTGCCGCCGATGGCATGGGCTCGTGGCCGCTCCAGTTCATCCATGCTGGACCAGCGCATGTCACAGCGCCTCGGTGACAGGGACATGGAGTGCTGGGTCCTGCTTTGGTCAGAAACAGAACCCCGTTTTCAGGTGGCCGCGGAGGGCTGTGCATTTGGGGAGCATCACGTTCACCCCCCGATGCACCCCCAGAGTCATGTTCTGCCCTGCCTCGTGCCACCGTGGGGGCTGGCAGCAAAGCAGAAGGGGACAGGGCTGTCCCCAGTCCCCTGTGCCACTGCCAGGACCCCTAGCAGGTCCCCGCTGGGTGCTGGAGCTCATTACTAACCCCCCCTCCTCCTGCCCTGCCTCTTTTCTTCCCTGCAGGCAGCATAATGCTGAACAGCATCACCGATGGGCTCCTCTGCTGCCTGATGGGCAAGACGACGAACGCTGTGGGGCCGCTGGACAGCGTTGAGTCCAGCAACGGCTACAGCTTCATGGAGGTGAAGCCGGGGAGGATCCTGCGGGTCAGGCACAACACACCCAACCGCCCAGCCCTGGAGGTGCCCGAGGAGAGCCAGCCCGGGGGGCCGGAGCGCGGCACGGTGCACTGCAAGCGCAAGATCACCGTCTACCGCAATGGGCAGCTGGTGATCGAGAACCTGGGCGACGCCGTGCGCTCCGAGATCCTGCACTGCCAGAACAGCTCGGGGGAACCCAACAGCACCGTGGAGCTGGAGCTCTCCGAGCTGGCCGGCCAAACTCCCACCCAGGGTCCCGCCGGCACGCCGGACACCGGGATGCGGCACGCGGGAGGCAGCTGCTGCCCCTGGGAAGCGTCGGAAGCGTAAACCCAAGAAAGTGGTCAACATCGACTGCAAGAAGCAGATCACAAGCTGCAAAGGGACACACAGCGACGTCGTCCTCTTCTTCATCCATGGCGTGGGCGGCTCGCTGGACATCTGGAAGGAGCAGCTGGACTTCTTTACCAAGCTGGGTTATGAAGTGGTGGCTCCCGACCTGGCCGGCCACGGCTGCAGCTCGGCTCCCCAGATTGCCGCCGCGTACACCTTCTACGCGCTGGCGGAGGACATGAGGGCCGTCTTCAAGCGCTACGCGAAGAAGAGGAATATCTTGATAGGACACTCCTACGGGTAAGGGACCGGGGGGGGCCCCAGGAGGGCAGGGATGGATTCGTCCCCCCACCCCGTCCTCTCCTGGCAGCAAACACCCACCAAATCTTGCACTTTGGGGGCTGGGAAGTGGAGGAGGGATGTGGAGTTTTCCCATTCTGAGTTTATCCCTGGACTCTGATCTCCTACATCCTCTTGGTGTGTGTCCCTGGCTCCAGCTAATCCCAGAGCCCGTCCTCCAGACACAGCCTATAAATAGAGTAAGCCCAAGAAAGTCAATTAGATGGAGACTAAGCAGCGCAGAGAGCAGGGCTGGGAGGAGAGTGAGCCGGAGATGGGCTCTGAGGTGGGCAGGATTAGCTCAGGACAAGGCTGAGCCAGGCTGGTGGTTCCCAGCACCCCGCTTTGGTCTGCACAGGAGTGAAATCCTGAAAAAAAAAGGGGTTTGACGGGGGTTACCCTACCCCAGAAAGGGGGGAACACAGGTCAAACAAGGGGGTGTAGCCTGGGCTCCAGCCATGGATCCTTGGGATGCAGCCTCCTCCGGTGCCATGGGGTGGGAACGTGGCCCCCATGTCTCTCTGTCCCTGCAGGGTTTCCTTCTGCACCTTCCTCGCCCACGAGTACCCGGACCTGGTCCATAAGGTGATCATGATCAACGGCGGCGGCCCGACGGCGCTGGAGCCCAGCCTCTGCTCCATCTTCAACATGCCCACCTGCGTGCTGCACTGCCTGTCCCCGTGCCTGGCCTGGAGCTTCCTCAAGTGAGTGGCCGTCCCAGCGCCGCCGCGCTGGGGAGGGTTATCCCTGGCCAAAAAAAAATAAATAAATCCGTGCCCCACGCTCCGGTCCCCCCAATGCCAAGGGGCCCGGCAGGCACCATGCTGGGCTAACCCACCGCCCGCGGTGGCTCCATCCTGCAGGGCTGGCTTCGCGCGCCAGGGTGCCAAAGAGAAGCAGCTGCTGAAGGAGGGCAACGCCTTCAACGTGTCGTCCTTCGTGCTGCGCGCCTGGGCTAACCCACCGCCCGCGGTGGCTCCATCCTGCAGGGCTGGCTTCGCGCGCCAGGGTGCCAAAGAGAAGCAGCTGCTGAAGGAGGGCAACGCCTTCAACGTGTCGTCCTTCGTGCTGCGCGCC